ATTCAAGATAATATGCAAGTTCATCAAATATTTAGATATTACAATAAAAATATTCAAACCAAATGATAATACATCAATCAACAACAATAGTTTTAGACGTTTCCAACCCCGATGCTTTCGTTTTCTTGACGTTGAGGTTGGTCATGTTATGATTGTCATCTATAATTCAAAGCTAAAGTTAAGGTCGGGTTCATCGGGTTGGTCGGGTTTTTTTGGGCCTGACCCGATGTCAACCCAATAAGGTCGGGTTGGCTAATTTTTTTATCGATCATGCATCGGGTTACCTCGGGTTGGGTGTTTTTTTAAAAATTCGGGTTGGGTTGGTCGGGTTCATCGGGTTCATCGGGTTTTTGAGCACCCCTAGTCATCTTACGTGCATAAACTAATCCGGCGGGCGACCATGAATATTATGGAGTCATTGCAGGTGAACCTCCATGGTTACAAGAGTTTTGGTAGCGCCCATGGGCGGATGTAGCATATAAATGGTGGGGGAATGGGCCCCCATTAAAAAAAAGAATTTTCAATTACATAGGTTTAAAACATTTTTTTTTATTAACCTGGATATCCAACTCGCTATACGAGCCGACTTATCCCAGGATGACCACCTGCTTTGCAGATAACCAGGAGTCACCGCATTTGAACCTCTGTGGCCACAAGAGGATTTTTATTCCTCATTGGATTTGAACTTGGGACCTCCTGATACTTTTGACCTTTGGAGTCGATCTCAAACCAATCAGGCACCACCCTTGTGGTTAAAACAATTTTTTTAACTTTCTACCACAGCTCCCCAGTAATTTTCGGTATATGCCCCCACCAACCAAAAGAATTACCTTGATTGGTTGATTTCAAAAATCTTCTTCTGTCCGAAAAAATGATTTTCTGAAGAATTCGTCATGATCTATGCATAATATCATGATAAATATTTAATAAGTTAAAAGTTATTGATTTAAAATCATTAACAAAACCACAACCCCAGTAATTTTCGGCATGTGCCCCACCAACCAAAAAGATTACCTTAATTGTACAAAATCAATAACAATTAAAAACATGTTTTTGACTTCTTAATCTATTAAAAATAAGTCGTTCGATTTTAAAGTCAAAATTGAATCGTTCCTGTTTGAGGTTGATTCATTTTAATCGCAAATAAATTGTGTTGTTTTTACAAATGAATGATTATAATATCTATATTATATTATGAAACATTTGATAAAATCTTTTAAAAACTATCATTTATATACTAGTTGTATATCCGCGCAATGCGGCGGGAGCCATGAAATTTAACGATTTTGAAGTTCCACTGGTTTTATAAGATAAGATTTAACGATGATATAGGTTACACTTGGTCTTTACATATTAATACAATTTGAATAAATAAGAGTTATGGTTCCAATTACAGATCATCGATGAAAAAAATTGTATGACAGTTTAAAATCCAATATATTTAAAATCAAACATATTTAAACGACTCCATAAATGTGTTCGATTTACACCAAGAGCAAATAACCAAGAAACTTGAGTTTTAAGATAAACATTCAAAACCAATAAAGAAAACTACAAATTTGACAGATCATAAGCCATAAAAAGACAAAAAAAGATGAGTTTTAAAATAAAATTTCAACTGTTTGTCATCTTTCTTGTCCAGAAACTCAGATTAAGGTTGAATTAATACATGTATATATATTTCAAAAAAACCCAAGAACATATTAATTCAGAACATATTATACAGTGCAATTTGGRCAGCCTAACCCCAAAATGTATAACATATATATAAATAAATAACTATAAAAATATAAATCGTAAACACTAAAAATATTTTTTCACAATATATATAATATATAATAATATAATTAAGTCAAAAACTATTCAATATTGGACTTATTTCGAAGATATTAACGAGACGATTATAATAGTGTAACTTGTTAAAATAAAAATGTATTGTTTAAACATGTTTTAATTGATATACAATTATGTATGTTAATTTGATAAATGCTTAAAACGAAACATTTAAAAGTAAATGACGTAAAGTAATTAATTAACTAATTATAGGGATATAAAATGTAAATTTAAAATTATAATTTAAAAAAAAATCAGTTGAATGTGAGACGGTAAGTGTATGTGAGGGGGTGAGTGTATGTGAGAAGAGGAATGAGTGAAAAAGTGAAAAGAGTATTTTAGTCATTTAGTATTTTAAGACTTTTGCTAAATTTGCTTAATAAGATAATATAAATAGGTATTGATTATTGATTCATATTACTTAAAATTCAAGAATACAAGTAAATTGTGCGTAAGTACAACTTATTAAGTTCCAAATTTGAATTCTTGTAACTAACTCTAGATTAATATAATCAAATACAGGATAAACTTCTCATTTTAAATATAAAAATATAATTAGGATAATTATTGAGTGTAGTAAAATATTTAGTTATTATATTTATAAAAAAATATATTATTAAACAAAAAATAAATTATTTTCTTGTTAAACCTAAAATAAATTGTAATAAAAAATAGAATTAAATAAATTAACAAAAAAATAAGAACTTTTATATATTTTTTTAAAATTTGTACGATATCTTCAAATTTCTATTTTGTAAAGAAAAATATTATCGTTTGCTAAAAACCACATGAAGCTGTATTATAACATCGGCATATATCAAGAAAACGAAACATTAAAATCGTGAGTACCCTTCTAGTATCTATACTATGTTATAAAACATTTGATAAAAACTCTTAAAAACCATTCTCTATGCATGAAGTACTGTGTATTAATGTATATTACTTACAATTTAAGATTACAAGTAAATTATGCGTAAGTACAACTTATTAAAGCTCCATTTGTGAATTCGTATAACTAACTGTAGATAAACAACTCATTTTTTATATAAAAAATCTAAAATATAATTAGGATAATCATTGAGTTCTAACAGAATTATTATCTTTATAAAATGTTATGTTAAGCCAAAAATAAATTAATTCATTAAATCGTAAAAACATTATCTTTCTCAAAACCACATAAATCGTATTATATCAACAAAGAAAAAAAACAAAACAAAACATTAAAGTGAAGATATATTTCGCTGCATTGTGCGACTACCCTTCTAGTATTATAAATATATTTGAACCCGAATACCTTAAAATGAGGTTAAAAAACAAAAAAAATTCAATGTAAATAAACAAATTCTTATAATTCAGGCATTTAAACATTCAAAACATCAAAATTTGTTGGGTTTTTCTAACATTACTCTATTTTAAATAAGGTTACGGTCCAGAAGCTGCTTTTGCTAAAACTCGAGCAGTTTCTTGAAAACTCGCTTTAGATATGAAACTTTGAGTATTCATAGATACTCTTGTTATTCACAATAAGACGGATCGGTGACAAATTGCTTTTCCTAAAGCGCGCCCTATTTGTTCCACTCAGCGATGTTTGGCGCGACGACGATGTCAAACCTCAAGCCTTACGAGTTATGGCGATACTACAACGCTTTTCAATACGTACCCTAAGAGAACATATATAATATATATACTAGAAGGATACCCACGAAATGTAGCGAGATACATCTCGATTTTATTGTTTCGATATAATACAGGTTTATGTGGTTTTGTGAAAGTGATAATGTTTTTATTTATGAATAAAATAAAATTTTGAAGATATGATAAATTATAATTTTGAAAAAAATATATCGGTTTTATTGTTAAATTAACTATTAAAAAGTTCTCGTTTTTTATGTAATTTTTTTATTATAATTTATTTTTAAGTTTTTTTTATTAGATATC